TATCCCTTCTCTATCTAAATGTAAAAGCACTTTTTTTTTTTATGGCACTTTTTTTTTTTCTACATTTTCTGTGGTCTTTAGACTCACTGAAAAAAATCCAAGCCACTGTGATTATAGCAGCTTCCTTCTTAAAACTTTCCTCACCTAGACTTCCTTCCCATATTTTGGGCTTTTTCTCTAATTCTTTGACTGGTAAACCTCAGTCATTTCCATTGAGTCTTCTTCTTAGGGTTTTGTCCAAGACTTTCTTTCCCACTTTATGCAAGGGACAATAATATGGTGATCAAGGGCATGGAATTTGGAGGCAACATATTAAACTTCTTTCTCTAAGTGTCAGTTTCCTTATCTGTAAAATGCTAATTATAATACCTGATCATTGAGATCAGGTATATTAACAGCTTATCATAATATCAAAATGTGGTATCACAATACCTAAAGATGGTAGCTATTTTTATTTGCTGTTTCTTATAAGAAACAATTTCAGTAGCAATTAACTTCAAAATGTGTATGTATTGACATCTCATACCCTGTTCAAGCTCCAGTCCTATATTTGTAGATTCCTCCTATATATCTTCAACAAATGGCTTAGCAAAGTGGTTTTCAAACATCAGTGTGCACAGTAATAACAAGAATGTGCAAATTTCTGGGCCCCATCAGAGTTTCTGATGTTTGGGATGAGGCCTGAGAATTTTCATATCTAACAAGTTTCCAAATGATAGCTCTTGGCCCTCCATCACACTGAGTGTCACTGACCAAGTGAAATTCAGACAAGTTTTCAGGGAGTAAGGGAGAAAAGACCAAAAGACCAAAGTTTATCAAAGAGCAGAGTATCCTTAAACCTGATTGTATCAGATATCTTGTAAAGTTTCCAAAGGATAGGTCTAAGAGAACACATTTGGATTTGTGTTTGTTTTTGGTATATGTCAGGTTCATAGGGTTGGTTTAATTATGGACCCAGTTGATGGAACATTGTCATTATTATGACTAGAAAAACATATATGACAGGTATTTGAGATAATGGTTCTTAATCTGTGGTGTGCATTAGACTCTCTTAGGAAGCTGTTTTCACCCGCATACTTATATTTAGAGTTCCTCCCCCTAATCTAAACCCATTAAACCAGAATTTCTGAGTGTAGAATTTGGGCATGAAAAAGTTCCAGGAGATTTTGATGGGCACCCTGGTCATAAGAACCACTTCTTTGAGCATTGGTGCTCAGGAAATGAAACACATGTCTTCTCTCTTTTTTTCTTAGCCTAGCTAGAGGGTTATTGATTTCATAGATCTTTTCAAATAATCAAGTTTTGGTTTTGTTGGTTTTCTCTATTGATTGCTTGTTTTCAATTTCTTTGATATCTGCTTTAATTTTTATTTCTTTTCTTTTGATTACTTAGAATTAAATTTGCTCTTTTTCCAGTTTTCTAAGGTGGAAGCATAGATTGTTGATTTTAGATCTTTCTTCCTTTTATATTAGATTCAGTGCTATAAATTTCCCTCTTAGCACTGCTTTCACTGCATTCCTCAGTATTTGATAAATTGTATTTTCATTTAGTTCAGAATATTTTAAAATTTTTCTTGTGAGTTCTTTGACTCATATGTTATTTAGAAGTGAGTTGTTTAATCACCATGTATTTTGGTATTTTTTAGTTACCTTGTTGTGTTATTGATTTCTAGTTTAATTCCACTGTGACCTGCTCTCAGACATTGCGTGATTTCTATTTGTTAAGGTGTGTTTTATGTCCCAGCATGTGGTCTATCTTTGTGTATATTCAATTGACCTAGAGAAAAATGTGAATTATGCTCTTGTTGGGTAAAATAGTCTATAGATATCAATTATAATCAATTGATTGATGATACTGTTGAGTTCAACTATGTACTTACTGAATTTATGCCTGCTGGATCTGTCCATTTCTATTGGAGGAGTGTTAAAGTCTACAACTATAATAGGTGATTCATCTTTTTCTCATTATGCATACATACCTTTTATAGTTGTCCCACAGTTCATGGACATTCTGTTTTGTCTTTTCAGTTTTGGAAGTTTCTAGTGTCATACCTTCAGGCTTAGAGATTCTTTTCCTCAGCCATGTCCAATCTACTAATGATCCTTTCAAAGAGCATTTATTCCTGTTACAGCATTTTTTATTGGTAGCATTTCTTATTATTTTTTTAGAATTTCCACCTCTCTGCTTATATTATCCTTCTTGTTCTTGCATATTGTTTACTTTTGCCATTAAAGCCCATAGCATACTAAACCTAGTATTTTTACATTCCTGATCTGATAATTTCAACATTCCTGCCATATCTGACTAGTTGTGATGTTTGTTCAGTCTCTTCAAATTGCCTTTTTTGCCTTTTTGTATGCCTTGCAATTTTTTGTTGAATAGTGAATATAATGTATTGGGTAAAAGGAACTGCAGTAGATAGGTCTTCAGTAATGTTGTAGTAAGGTGTGGAGGTAGGGGAAGCATTCTATAGTCTTGTGATTTGGTCTCAGTGTTTGGTGAACCTGCGCCCCTGGACTGTGAACTTTACCAATGCTTCTCAGTTTGTTCTCCCCTCTAAGTGGTACAGGATGGCTAGAGGGGGCTGGAGTTGTATATTTCACTTCTCTGTCCTGGGTTAGGCTATGATAGTACCCTAAGTTGCAGTGCTCTGGTAAAATAGGTTCTCCTGAGGGCAGTCCTTGTCAAGAAGAACAGAATGTTCTGGTGTATTTCAAAATGGTTCATTTCCCTCTTCCCCACCAGGAGCAGGTGGGGATTTTTCTTCAATATTTAATGTGAGAACCAGGTCCAGCTCCTGAAGGTAAATCTAACAAAAGTGTGGTCCCCCATAACTGGTTCCAGCGGAAGATTTTAACTCTCTTACTTGTCAATTCTGTGCCTCGGCAATTAATCAATTATAGTTCAAGTTAACTTGCCTTGGCACTGGTTCCCTCAGAGGTTTCTGCTCATGGGTTTCTGCTTGGTCAAGTTGTGACTCTCTGTATCTGCATGTCTCTCTCCAGTTTAGGGGACAGGGTTTGTCCCATGACTTCACTTCTCTGATGGACTTAAGAACAGTTGTTGTTTTTCAGTTTTGTCATCTTTTTACTTGTTAGGTGAGAGTTGAGACTTCTAAGCTCCTTACATGTCAGATTGGAAACCTGAAGTCCCCTGGTGCTTTTCTTGAGACTTTACCACCTAACTGTCCCTAAATATGCTATTTTTGCCTGTTCTTAACTTTATATAAATGGTATATCCATATATACATACTTCCTTTGCTCATCATTGCATTTGTGGGATAAATCCATTAGTTTGATACTTCTCAAACATTGGTATGGGCATGCATCCATCCCCTGGAGATCTTGTTAAAATGCAGATTCTGATTTAGGAGGTCTGGGGTTGAGCTCGAGATTCTGCCTTTCTAACAAGCTCCAATATGATGCTGATGTTGCTCTTCAATGGACAATACTTGGAGTAATAAGGCATCAGTTCATTCCATTTTCAATTGCTTAATATGCTTTGAATACTCCAGGTCACTTCCTGTATGAGTTTTCTCCTGGAAGAGGAAAAATATAGAAAACAGTCCTTTAATTGTCTGTCAGGTATCATTTTCCAGAATTGGGAGCTAGTTATTTCATATTTGAGGTGGATATTGTCATCAACATAGTAACTTGAAGATCGTATTTGAATAAAATATTAGCAATATGGTCCTGTAAAATTTCTCACATTGCATCTTTAGTTGTAAGTAAGGCTTTGTTAACTCTATTCTGTACAGGTAACTTTTAGGTAAGGCAAAATTAAAAAGGACAAATGGATGCATGTGTGTGCTCACTTAGATATGTATGTGAGTAACAAAAGATGTAAAGCTTTCTTTTAGGGCTTTTGACAGGAAATAAGTGTAGTGTTCGGTTTAGATTTTTTTTTTCTATTCACAGGGCTTATAAGACAACCACCTTTCCTACAATGGCAAAGTGATTTATTTGGTTATCCTGAAAATCTTGGGGACCATAGAAATAATACAGTCAGTGCAAGTTGACTTTTACAGTCTCCCCAGGAAATGGCTTTATACAATACATGTCAAGCTTTAACTCAGCATTTATTGAACACCTTTGCTGTGTAAAAGGTGTGTGTACTAGCTTTACCCTTTTTAAAGTAGAAACATAAATACTTCTCAAGAATGTTATTGAGCCCAATGAACTGAAAATCAAATTGCCACAAGGCAGGGATAATCAGAGCTCTTAAAAATGCTCAGTGGTTGCTTTACTTTCTCCATTATTGAGTG